AAATGAATTACATCGGACTATTGGAGGCGAGGAATATTTTCTCTGAAAATGTTAAGTTGGGCTGCCAGGCAGCGGGCCGTGCTGGGGAGTATATTGAGACGGGCGGGGGGAGGAGGGGAAGGAGGGGCTGTTTACTTGTATGTTTGTGTGTGTGTGTGTGTGTATGTGTGGAAGGTGCTTTTTCTCCACATCTTGTGTAGAATCAACACTTCACTGCTCTTGCCTATTACTTTAGTGCTCGCCTGCTTAAACACATTCACTTTACCCACATTGTTTTCCCCCTGTGTGCACTGCACTAGCACACTCTTTAATAAGGTAAACACAGCAAAGGTTACACTGTCTTAAGACGTTAGCCTTTTTCATTACTGCACACTGCATGTGCCTTAATATCAAATCATAGATGCTGCACATTGGATCAAGTGTCAGTAGCTTTAGCTGTGATATTTCACTCTGGAAGAACAATTACCAGTCAGGCCTGCTTCCCTTTGAGCGCTGTCTGCAAACCTCTTTAATAACGCCGCATTTAGGCTGATTATAAAACAGCAATTAAGCGCCATTTAGAAAGGAAAATACACCTTTACAGCAGAGCTGGCCTCTCCTCTCCAGCACAGCTCCTGCTGCTTAAACCTGAGCACACACATCATATTACACACCAGAATCTCATATGGCAGTATCAAACGCACACGCCACTTTCCTCATTGCGTGCCATAATGTGAGCGCTGCTTTCTAAAGACAACCTGTGCCCCCCTCGCCCCCTGGCATCCCGCGTGCACCGCTGTCTCTGCCGAGGTTCACCGGGTGGGCGGGTAGCTCTACATGCTTTAATAGGTAGATGTGAACTATTTTGAATTTAATTAAGGGCCTGATGGGAAATTTGTAAAGGGAGAAAGCAGAGCGACTTCTGGCAAGTGCAAGAGGGAGAGAGAGAAAGGGTGATAAGGGGCAAAAAAGAGAGGGAGAGACAGAAAAGAGGGGGATGTGGAGAAATGGAGGAAAGGAGCAGAGGGAGAGAAAGAGGGAAAGAAGAGAGTACAAAAAGGATAACAAACAGAGAAGCGAGAGAGAAAGAAAGGGTGAGAGAGAGAGAAGGAGAGGGAAAGAGAGAGGACAAAGAGAGGGCAAAAAAGAGAGTGGGCGAGAAAGAGAAGGAAAAGGCTCGAGAGAGGGCTGGGGAGAGAGATGCTATCTTAAAAAAGTGTGAAGGAGAGAGAGGAGTGGAGGGAGCAAGAAATGAAGGAAAGATAGAAAGAGAAAGAGGAAAAAAGTGAGGGAAAGAGAGGGAGCGATCTCAGGTTACGGCGGCATATGCTAAGCTCTCACAAAACATACACAATGCCTTTGGTGAACAAGGTAGTCGCTGGGCCCCTGGGAGCCAATTTAGAACATGACTTAAGGCGACGCTCTGGAGTCGTGTGAGAGAACGACTGTCTGCTGCTCTGAGTTCTCCTCGGGATGATGACGAGAGACGGAGGGAGAGGGGAGTGGAGAGGGAGAGATAGAGGGGAGGGAGATGGAGAGGGGAGAGATAGAAAAGAGAGACAAAAAAGGGAGAAAGAGGAGAGAGAGACAGAGAGCGGGAAAAGGAGAGAGAGGAGAGAAAGATAGAGAAGGGGGAGAAAAGAGAGACGAAAGAGGAGAGAGAGAGAAAGGAGAGAAAAGAGAGACAAGAAAGAGAGGAAGAGGAGAAAGGAGAGAAAGAGGAGAGAGAGACAGAAAGAGGGAAGAGGAGAGAGATACAGGGGGGAGGAAAGAGAGAAAAAGGAGAGAAAAGAGAGACGAAAGAGGAGAGAGAGAGAAAGGAGAGAAAAAGGAAAGAGACAGAGAAAGATAGAGAGTGAGAGAAAAAGGAGACTGAGAGAGAGAGAGAAATGAGAGAACGAGGATGGAAGACAGTAAAAAAGGAGAGAAAGAGAGGGGTGGAGGAAAGAGAGGAAGATGAGAAAAGGGGAAAAGAGACAAAAAAGACAGAAAGAGGTGAAAGAAAGGAGAGAAAGAGAGAGAAAATAGAGAAAGAGAGAGAACGAGGAGGGAGAAAGAGACAGAGAGAGAAAGAGGAGGAAAGAAAGGAGAGAAGGAGAGAGAGGGAGGAAAGAGAGAGAGACAGGAGAGTAGAGATAAAGAAAGAAAAAAGAGAGAGTGAAAGGGGAGAAAGAGGAGGAAAGACGGCAAAAAGGGAGAGAAAAGAGGGGGGAAGGAAAGAGAAAGAGGAGAGAAAGGGTAGAGAGAGTAACAAAAGATAGAAAGAGGAGCAAAGACAGCAAAAGGGGAGAGAAAGACAGAAAGATAAAGAAAAAGAGAGAAAGAGATAGAAAAAAGAGAAAGAGGAGAGAGCGAGACACACTTGGGTCTGGGTGGCCCTCCTGAAGACCCCCCACATCTGTGCAGCGTCTCCCCCTCCTCTCCTTGTGCAGTACCTTCCAAATATCAAGGAAATTCAAGTCCACTTTCTAAACATTACCATATTAGTAATTGCAGTCACAGATGTACTTTATAGTTGACTGACTAATAATTGATGAAGAGGATAAGGGGATAAGGGTACCTCTCTTACTCTATTGATTATTTGGGATTTTCTAATGAATTTCGTAAAAATACACACATTGGGTCAAATTTTCTTCTATTTATGTATTCGTTTCGATCTCAATTTCAGATCAAATTTTGCAACGTAACATAAAAACAGGACAGATTTGTAATTCCCTTTCGCATAGTTTTCGAGTTGAATTAACGATTTACAATTATTATTATCTTTTTTTCTTTTTCATCAAAAGTCCGGACATTGCAGTGATTCTCGAATTTGCGAAAGAGAAATTTCACTAGGGAACTTTCGGTAGATTAAATGTATGAAACAACACCTACGTATACATAACAACCAAAACATATTTCTGAACATTTTTTGGTATTTTCCACACAAAATCATATGCAGGGAACAGCCATTCACACTTAGGAATAACATCAATATACAAAACAGAAATCTCGACAATTATTATCTTAGCAAACTCCGTCAGGTTTAAGTAAATGTCACAAAGAATGAAAAGTCAACCAGCGAGTTTTTGTCAGCCGTGAGGAAATATGAATTTTAAACAAAGGCAGGTTTTTGAAGTGCGAGTTCATATCCTCTGTGTTTACCTGTGCGTTCCTTCGTACTTTAAAGGGGAGTGGCAGACTTCTCTACACATACTTTGTGTCGACTTGATTATTTTTTCGGAGTTAAGCGCCGGGGCTTCAAGGCTGGATCACATAACAGACTGTGCACTGCTGTGTGGGCTTCACTGGCACTTCGGAGATCAGAGCGTCTTGTTGTGTAAGGTTGATTTTAAAGGCGCGCTATGTAACTTTCCGTACTGTTTGCTCGTCTCCCTGGAGATGCCGTTGCTTTGTCTAGATTGTTCCAGAGTAAGGCGTTGCGTTTGAGTATCTCCGTGGAGTCGCACCCAGGTCAAGTAACGGGTCAGATCTGAGGAAAGGCAAGTCCACTGACAGTGAAAATGGATGTTTTTACAAGATATAAAAACCATAAATTGACCAAAAATCAACAGAAACTTCCAAAAAGGGAAATTATGTTGGACACAGTAGTTCACACATAACAATATATTACAATAACAAAGAGAAATAATAGAAACTGCAATAAAAATGTAAAAATAAGTTGCAAAAAATAGTAAGAGACTACATAAATAGATTTTTTTTAATAACATACTGTGTAATATTCCAGTAATATCTTCATGGAAACAAGTTACAAGTTACATCATCTGTCTTTCATGCATTATTGATAGAGAAACTTAAATTTTGTTATGTAATTCAGAGTATAGTTGGAGGGACTTTTTTTATTTTTATTTTTAACCAAATTTGCTAATTGAGGTATTTGCATTTGACCAGTGGTGAAGTTAGAAGTTTGGGGACCCTAGGTGAACTTGACTTTGGGGCCCTCACTGTAATGCACTGTTTTTTTGTTTTGTTTTGTTTTGTTTTTGTTTTGTTCTTGAGACACGCACAGCTCTATTTTTATTTATTTATTTTTTATTATAGTGGATTGGAAACTTGTCTTATTAGTTAGATTGCCTACTAGAAAACCAGAACTGAAAGTAGTTTTATTTTTTTGCTAGTACAGTTACATTTTTGTTTACATCTATTACATATGATTATTATTATTTTTCTTATGATTATTGTTTAAAAGTAAACTACTCTTATTTAATGTCATATTGCGAGAAAATCAAATTGCTCTGGTTGGGAGCCCCTCCAGGTTTGGGGGCCCTGGGCAGCCACCTACTTTTTCTTAATGATCGCGCCGCCTCTGCCTTTGACCCATGCTTGCGAGGGCACCCTGGGGACCCATCTTCAAATCTTTACCTATAGCTTCATGTTCAGGAGTAGTTGTAGTACTGACCTTTGTTTTAAGTAATTGACAAACCTCAAGTTACCCACACATATTTTGGGAATTGAACCTCAAACTTTGTAGCTATTATTAAAAAAAAAAAAAAAAAAAAAAGAAGAAGACATATTTCTAGTCGCTATATTACTTGCCATTACTTTTCCAAATGTTTTTCTTTTTTGATTTTACGGCTCCATTCCGCCATTTGTAGACGTGCATCCGACATGATTTAAATACACAAATTTATTCTCAGATCACTCCGACACCTGTTTTTAATGTCCTATTGCAACTTAAACCTATTAGAAAATCATTACCTTCTGTTGTATTTACATCTTTCAATGCCTCCCTTTTCTATTTTATTATCTCTTGTGTTCCATGACAAAACCTGAGCGCTAAAATGATCAAATGAGTCTCTATATTACGTTCCCAAACTCTGAACCCAATATTAAACGTCTCCGAGACTGACACAGACCATCGCGGTTCATATATTTGTTGATTACTTTTGCATGTGGTGAAGGGAGGAATTCGCAAATGAAAACGTGGCTTGATTCTTTGAGTGCATTTATTGCCAGTGTGTAACAAACTTATCAAGCTTCAAAGATGTCTAACTATATTTTTTGGGTATTTTTTTTTCCAGATCTGAAATCATCTCATCGTCTTTCGCTGTCTGCAGAGCTTTTCGGTTGACATCTGGAGAAGCTGGGTTCTTCACAGGTACCGTCACAGCAGTTCATCAGTAGCTAAAGAGAGGAGAGGATATTAAACATGTCAAAACCACAGTCACAAACACGAAATGAAGTCTTTTGTTAGATTTGTTTATCGCAGAAATGTCCGTCGAACCTTCTTTTGGTGGCACTGTTCGGAAGTCAGTTTCTTTAGTCTATATGTATTTTAAATTAAAGGTGCGTTGTGTAACTTTTCTCGTGGAGGGCCCGTCAGATGCTTTTCTCTGTGGAAATATTATTGTGTTTTCTCTTTCTATCTTCATAAAAGACCAAAACAAACCAAGTTACAGGTCAGAACTGTGAAAAGGCGACCCCGTTTACAGTCAGGATGTCTGTGTTTCTAGGTATTTTTGAGCTATTAAACCACCTGTAACTGAATAAATGTAAGATAGAGCTTTTTAATGTCGCACTGTGGAACATTCCAGGCAGAGCAATGACATATATCCATAGAAACAATCAGGTGATGGACCCTCCACTAGAAAGTTACACAGTGCACCTTTAACTTTTGTTTAAGGTTAAAGGTGAGTTTTGTAACTTTTCGGATGGGGTTTGTCACCTACTTTGTTTGTCGCCATGGAGATTGCGTAGCCTAGAATTTTCCTCAACATGGCAATGAAATTTAGTTTCATTTTTTTTCAATTATAGGTGATTTTATTGATTTTAAAAAAAAAAGCAAACAAACAAAAACAAAACATCAATTAGTATTTGAAGTCACCTCTCCAAAAATCTGGCCTGTCTCTGTGTACTTAGATTTAGGTTTAATGCTATATTCTGGAACATTTCAGGCAAAGTGGTAACATATTCATGGAGACAATGAGACAGACACTCCACCAGAAAAGTTACATAATGAACCTTTAACCTTGTGTTAGCACACCTTTCTATTTTACTGAGCAATTCATTTTTTTTTTTTTTAATTAATTTTCTAATTCACTTCGTACTAAAAAAGTTAGAATTCTCAAAGTTAGACTACAACATACTATACATCTCATGCTATAAGTTCATAATTAACTTTTTACTACTTTTTCCATTACTTAGCTGGAATAAACTTCTTCTTGACTTCCTTGTAATTGATTGAAAAGTGTGCTATTTGTGAAAGAAAACATCTTTTTATGTTCACCAAACTATAACAGATAAGTTTAGATTACTGACAGCTCTGTGAGTGAGACACAAAATATGTGGGTATAACTATCTAAAATAGAAAAAAGCCAAAAAAAATCCCAGCGTTGACGCATTTGATAACATCTTTACCATCTATGTACTTGTCCCTTCTTTCACCAAGCCTCTTCAAAACACAATCCCTGTTCTCCGCCAATATGGAAACTATTACGTTGTATGTTATTCTTCATTACACCAGCAGGAATTCAACTTCGCGAGCTACTCCCTCTCACGCTCAAACCATCTCTCAAAGCGCGTGTACAATTTAACTATAATAACTCTAATATAAAATTATCAAACCATCACTTTTATTGCTTCTAATACCGGTGAAAAGTTTCCATATGAGCCTGTCGCGATGCCAAGACGCCTTCATGTCGTTTCTTCGTAACACGGTTTGACAATGAGGGGACGGAGTTGACGTGGCTAACAGGTGCGAGCGATTTACGGGAGGGCCGGAGGAGCGCGGAGGGACGGGGGGGATCGGCTCGTCTCGTATGGGGGCCGGGGTGAGTGATGGTGGGGTACGCGACAGGTAGACGAGAGGGTGAGGCTGGATGTCTCACTTGGCGCGCTCGCCTATAATCAGTGGTGCTGTCTCCGTACTTTTATGTGTTCCCAAACTGTCATTCACGAAATATATATATAGCGCGGAATAACGTTTTTTTGATTTTTAGTTTTTCAAATTAGATAACAGAAAGAAATTAACTTCTCGAAAAATGAAAAAAAATATATATATAATTGAAGGTGTATTATGTAACTTTTCGATTTGGGTCCTCCATCTGCCTTTCTCCATGGACATGCTATTGCTTTGGAATGTTTCACACCATGGTATTAAACCATTCTATCTTCCTGGAGACCAAATCAGGCCAAGTTACAGGTCAGATCTGTGGAGAGGCAACCCTGCTTGCAGATTTTCAAAGTATTTTTGAGCTATAAAACCACTTATAATTGAATAAATGTAAGGTAGATCTGTTTAACGCCGTACTCTGGAACTTTTGAAGCAAAGCAATGGCATATCCATAGAAACATGAAGTTGATGGACCGCCGAAAGGTTACATTTAAATGAAATAAAATACATTTGGCCGTGTACATTTTGCACCCTCGTTTTATTGACGAATTGAGATTGGGTCGTCCAATATAGATTGTAATGTCAAAGGAGTCGAAACTGCTTATCATAGTCAATATATCTACCAATATTTAACAAATCATTGCAATTTGGACCCATTAAACTCTAGCCAGGCTGCGCCACCTAGTGCCTCCGCTCAATTTCATTTCTCTCCAGTGACTAGGTCAGGAATCAGAATACACTAGACGGTTCACAAAAACCCTGAAAGTGCAATCAGCCAATCAGAGAAGAGCCATACATTCTGTGTTGGTAACAATTCCCGAGTATTTAAAGGCGGAAAGAGAATGTTTGGGCAATTTTATCAAAGGGAAAGACGTTATTCCCCTTCTTCCTATGGGATTTGTCACGACCAAATAACAGTTATTGGCTAAGTAAAAAAGTACCCACCTACCGTCGAGCGAATGAATCCTAATACTGCGAGGTCAGACGGTTTCCACAAAGTGAAACCGGCTGATGAATCAGACTAATTAAACTCAATACATGAATAAGAATTACCATGCATCTGTTCCACACACTATGATGGGTAGAGTTTGCATGTCATATTCTAAAATCCCTATAGGACAGGTTAGAAATCAATGGTGGATTTGCTGTGTAACTGTCAGATTGCAGATTTCTTGACCTGGTTTACAGTTAATATCTCTGCAATTACCGGGCCTATCCACATGAAACAAAAACTGGCCCGAAGTTCTATATATATCTTCCCCGTCAGTATAATTAAACAAAAGTGGAATTATTTGATCGCCTCAGAAAGTGGTGCTATTATTCAACTTAAGATATGATTGCTGGCAGGTGAAAGGACTTTAAACTATAAGATTAATTTGACAAGTTTGTGGAGCTGATCCCAGAAAAAAAAAAAAAAAAAAAGATAAAGGTTCAACATTTGTGGATTAATTTTCGAAATATGTGAATCTCCCATAGAATTATAGAGAGTTATTGCACTATAACTTTTCGGTTGGGGGTCTGTCACCTGCTTGTTTCTATGGAGATGTCATTGCTGTGTCTGGAATGTTCCACGATATGGCATTAAATAACTGGACTTTACATTTATTCAATTACAGGTGGTTTTATAGCTCAAAAATACTGAGAAAAACAAAAAGAACTGACTGTGAGCGGGGTCGCCTCTCCACAAATCTGACCAGTATCCTGGTCTGGTTTGGTCTCCATGAAGATAGAAAGGTTTAATGTCATACTGTGGAACATTCCAGACAAAGCAATAACGTCTCCATAGAAAAAAAAAAAAAAAGTTACACAATACACCTTTACCACGAACGCAACGCCTTCATCCCAATCCTGCTACTTTCTAAAAATACTTATTTAGTTGTACTGCTGTATTGTCTCCCCTCCCCTCTCATATAAAACCATACATATCTCTCTCCTTCTTTTTCTTTTTCGTCTCCATCCAGTAATTACTCCTCCTCTCCTCTGCTCTGTTTTCTTTTAATTCGCCGCAGACAGTCGTCCAGAGAGCCACTTTTGCAGAAATAGAGAAAGAGAGGTTGGGGTCAAGTCGGTTTGTAAAAATTGATTGCTTGTAAAGTACTAATCAATGGAAACCTTTTCTCTTGGAACTGGAAAATTCATGTTATAACATTTATTGAAAAAGATTCCGGCGTGGTTGGGGATGTGTATGGCAGCTGTCCCCCGGCCTGTGTAAAACATCAGCTTGTATATAGATGCATGTTTAACTGCGCGCGTTAACTTAAAATAGGACTATATATACAGGGGAAGGGTCCTTAAATGTCAATAATAGTGGTGTTTAAAGAGAGTTGTGTGGCTTTAAATAAGTAAATGCATACATACATACATAAATAGTAAAAAAAAAATATGGTGTGAAAAGGCAAATTTAAAAGGAAAATAGTAAATATGTGAACTCAAGCAAAGAAACAGATAGCTATTTTTCTACCTTAATAAATGTTGTGCAAGTAAACTGTCCAATTTATGCACCAAGTAAAGCACAAATGCAACAAGTAAAGGTGCATTGTGTAACTTTTCACATCCGTGTTTCTATAGATATGTCATCGCTCTGCCTGGAATGTTCCACACTATGACATTAAACAGCTCTACTTTACATTTGATTGTGAGCTGGGTGGCCTCTCCACAGAGCTGACCTGTAACTTGGTCAGGTTTAGTCTGCATGGAGATAGAAAGGTTTAATGTCATAACATTCCATGCAAAGCAATAACGACGGCGACAAATTCGACGGAAAAGTTACACAATGCATCTTTAAATAAATGAATAAATAAACTGAAAAAATGCCACAAATAAATTGTTAAATTTATAAATGAACTGAAAAAACTCAAAATACTTTAAATTATGCAATGATATTTTTAGACCAACCACAAGTTGGAACCAGCGAGATTTTGGTTTTAGGGTTCTGATTTTGTGTTTATGCTCATTTGAAAAAAGATTATAATAATATAAAGAATAATAAAATAGATAAATACATTTGAAAAACTGGTCACGTCCACAATTTAAATTTTAAAATGGATTTTCTTGCCAGATTTTTATTCCCTTCCTATAAAAGGAGCAGTCTTGGTATTTAGAAACACATGACCAGCTTCAGTATTTAGCAGTCCTACATACAAGAAACTCGTCTTTTCTAAACTCTAAAGAATAACCAAATTTACTTGAGGCCTTGGCATGTTCTCATGCCGTTTCTCAAAATAAATAAAATAAATTAAAAACAAAAAATGTACAAAAACATGTCT